TTTCAGCGTGGGCTCACCTTTTGCCCGCGAACCGCATCGCTGCTTCTTGTTTTGCTCCGTGATGATCTCTGCCTCCTTCTCGCTAAAGCGAACATGGTTAGTGGACACACCTTGGTTGGCGGTGGCTTGTGTCAATGCGGCCTCCTCTTCGCCCTCACTCAGCTCCAGGTAGAAAAGCTCGCCGTTCTTCTGGATGTCATCCAGCCATTCTGGTTCCAGGTCACTGAGTGGAAACAAACATTGAAAGATACCAAGTATTTAAAGTTAAATGTACAATAAATGAAGAACTTAAATATTATTCACTATTTGGACAATTTCTGTCACTAACTTATTTCAAGATTGATGGAGACCGAGTCAGAAATGTTGTTTTGTTTCTAGCATCTACTTTTATCAGTTATTTTCCATGTGTATATTGCAATAAATAAACTAAAAACTTCTATATGTACAAAGCGTAATAACACGTTTGAGCAAATAGGGTGGGACTAGATATTTTTTCTTTTGGTTTCTCTCCTTTTAAACCCGCTTTGAAGAACCTGTGGTAGAAAGCTTTAGCACGATATCCATAAATTTACTGAGGATGGCCAGAGGCATACAATTATTTATGAAGGTTTACCTCCCAAACTGAAAAACACTCCCCAAAGCTATGAAAAGCACAAAGGAGGTGGAAACTGTGCGGATGGGGAGACACTCCCTCTTCAGCAAAGCTGGTCTGACACATACAAGTGACTGAAACAACCTATTTTTTAGATTACATGTGTAAATAAATGACCAAAAGCAGCCATACAACACATCCTCAGTGTTATATATCCAATACAAACCATCAAATGACGAGTTAAAGTGTCAAGTTACAGCACGTCCTCCTCACAAACACTGAGAACTAGCTCGTTCAACCTGACTCTGTTTGTTTGTTTGTTTGTTTGTTTGTTTGTTTAAGTCTCGGAGTCACACTATCTGTCTTACTCGGAGCTGTTGAAACTCGATAAGGATTCACAGTCACTATCGTTGTCCTGCTCGCCACCGTCTTCTTCCGTTTCCCCGCTACTTTTAACACTTTTGTCGGCGCCCTGACGGACACTCGCGAACGCCATGTTTGTTACACGCCGCTTTCTCTCCCGCACTTTCACGCAACAGAAACAAACGGCTAACTTTTCAGTCAAACGACC